TATGGTTCTGGATACAGTAGTGCATTTAACAGTGCAAGGTAAAGAAGTAAGATCTCTCCTTTGCTTCCATGTAATGGTCTCATTCTCACACTTGCACAAGTTAAATCAAAAGCACGTTTCAGAAGAGGGCAGGCAATATACACAGTGCCTCAGCTGTGCATGTAGGTATGTAACTGCAGTCTGAGCTATTCTCAACTCATCTTTCTGTTTTTTCCTAGGTCTATGTTCTTCTGAAATAAACATTGCTTATTAGACGTGGGCGGAGAGGGATAATTTTTATGATTTTTGCTAGTTTCTTTGTTGTATTAACAAAAGTGATAGACAAAAAATGTGCATGTCTCAGTATCAAGAAACCAAGAAGTGCAGGAAAATTTGATCTTGCATATCTGCCATAAATGTCAGAAGTACGTGAGGAGGTATGGCACATCAACATCTGTAAGAGTATTCTGAATTTCTGGACTTCTGTGCAGAACCTCTCCTTGCTAGTGGCATGTCTGCTGTCTGCAGAGTAGCCTTGCCCAGCTTTCCTGGAGTCTGTGAAGCAGCTCTGCACTTGATGCATGTGCAGGCCAGCCCTGCATATCACTCTTCTCCTTATACTTTCTCAGACCTCCTCCATTTCTAAGTATTTCTCAACTTTCACCAACTTTTTTGTCTAACTGTAGTTTTTCTCTTGAAAACCTTCTGGTAGTCAATCCTGAGATCAGAAAACATGTCTTGCTTAAACTTCCCTGTCGCAGCATTATGGCCCTCCTAGTGCAGAAGATGGAAAACCAAAGAGAGATCAGTTATGAATTATGACAGCCCAGCACTCCAGTGTAGGGAAGTACTTAATGTATTTTTTTTCTTGTTGCCTTCTGAGTTTGGAAAGGAAGAAGAAAAAGAATTTGAAACCAAAACATAGAGGTAATAGTCATAAGAACTACATTTCTTAATTAGAATTACTGTATTTCTGTGGTTAAATGAAACCTCCAGTAGCAAATAATTCATGTGAAAGGGTAAAAAAAGCCATTTGGCATGAAATGCTTTGTTAATGACAATCTTCTCAGAAGTGACTGTGGAATATTCTGGAAATGCAACACTCCACTGTTCCATCACCTGTTAACCATAGCAGTAGCACTGGAGACATTAAGGAATTTACAGTAAAACTAACTGATTTTCCTCTTCACTAATGACCTGGATGCTGGGAGCATGTGTACACTCAGCAACTTTGAAGATGATGAAAACCTGGAGGAGTGGCATACCAGGCAGTCATATGGCCATCCAGAGGGATCTCAAGAGGCTGGAGAAATGGGCAGGGAGTGACCTCAAAAAAAAAGGAAATTCAAAGTCCTGCACCTTAGGATTAATAACACCATTCACAGGTACAGACTGGGGGAAACCATCTGGAAAACGGCTCTGCAGAAAAGGACAGGAGTGGCCTAGTGGACAAATTGAAGATGAGGCAGCAGTGCGCCCTCGTGGCAAAGGCAGCCAACAGTATCTGGGCTGCATCCACTTCCAGCAGGCTGAGGGAGGTGATCACTGGTGAGGCACCACCTCATGTCCTGTGCCCAGTTTTGGGCTTCCCAGTAGGCAAGAGACATGGACATACTGGAGAGAGTTCGGTGAAGGATCACAAAGATGATTAAAGGACTGGAGCGTTTCTCCTCTGAGCAAAGGCTGAGTACCCTGGGACTGCTCAGCCTGGAGAAGAGAAGCCTTGGAGAGATCTCATCAGCGTGTGTAAGTGCCTGAAGGGAGGGTGCAAAAGAGACTGAGCCAGGCTCTCAGTGGTGCCCAGTAACAGGCCCAAAGGCAATACGCACAAACTGAAACCCAGGAGTTTCCCTCTGAACACCAGGAAACCCTCTTTTACTGTGAAGAGTGACTGAGCTCTGCATCAGGTTGCCTGGATATGTTGTGGAGTCTCCCTCCTAGGAGATATTCAGAGGCTGTCTGGACATGGACCTGGACAATTTGCTCCAGGTGACCCTGCTTGAGCAAGAGGGTTGAGTTGGACAATCTGCCTAGGTCCATTCCAGTCTCAGTTATGTGGTGATTCATTGCTGGTTAATCAGTGATCCTGAAGCAATCTATCACAACTGATGACAGGATTTTACTTTAGGGCATTGGATACTAGTTTAACACACCTTTTCCATTTCTTTGTTAGTATTTTCTGCAATTCATAATGTTCCACCTGAAAATAAAGGAATAGTGTTTTTAAGTGAAGCTGTTACATGCTGTGGTACATAGGGGCGTATGCTTATTCATTTGCTTGCCATGTTTATGGAGTCACTGAATGACTGAAAGGAAGCTGCCAAAGAAAAAAGTGAAGTGTGTGAGAAGAGAGTCTGGAAATCTGAATGTATCTCTATAGAGGACAAAAATGCCAGCACATCAGCCATGCTTTTCCTGTGCCTTGCTACTGTGTTCATTACACCTGCTAGTGCAGAGGATTAATGCATTTGAACAGAAAGAGACAAACTAAGATTTTTCCCTGAAGCCCATCTGTTTTTTTCCCCTTAAATGTCTTTAACTGCAGGAGGGAATTAGAGTTGATTTTAAGAGCAAGAATAAGAGGAGGTAGAGAAATTAAGCACATAATAGGAGAAGGCAGCCTAAAGTAGATGGATGGCAAGGAGGAAAACAAACAACTTCACCAATTATGAAAAAATTAAGGATAGAAGGGAATTGTCAAAGGATAAACCTAACTCACCATGTCACTTTTTCCACTAGTTGCAGCTACAGATAAGTGACAGCAAATACTGTCAGGATGAAAAGCTCCCTCAGAGGTCCTAAGGCATGTTGCAAAAACTGTTGAATTTTCAAGTGCTAAGAATTACTTTTTCCTGCTAAGCAAATATGCTATAGGACTCTTGAGTCTTAACATGGAATTCCAGAACCCTTATCCATTGTAGAGGAACTGATTATTGTTTTTGTCCTATAGAAAAACATGAAAGGTTGGTGATGGTTTTTCCCTCAGTGCACAGAGCTGAGCAGACAAGCAGCATACCAGGATTCAGAGACCAGTAGTAGAATTCCAAGATTGTGAGTAGAATAGCATATATGTACATGTGTGGATCCAGTCATATGGGAGATAAAAGATCCATGGGGTTCGCTGTTTGGGTAGGAGCAAAGTAGGGTTTGACTATTGTTCTGACCTCAGTGTTAGTGAGCATTTGAGGTGGATGACTTGAGTGGGAAAGGAAAATGTTGAAAAAAAAAACTGAATTACAGCATGTGTCGAAAAAAGCAGGAGAGACATCACAAGTCTGGTGAGTGTCTATGTGATTTAGCATACCTGACTGTTGAACACATGCGCTAATTAAGGAACCAAATGGCATCAGGAGTTAGAGAAGATTATGCAACTCACTGGAGATATATTTGACAACCTCCAACACAGAATCCAAAATTTTCAGACTGCTATTTTCTATCTAATCTTTGAGGTGTATAGGTCAATGAATCAAAACACACAGAGCTGTGCACATAGAGGCAGCTCCATGGATGAACATGTGAAAACCTTCCATTGTGCCATTCTTGGTCATTGCATCAATACTTATTTTATTCATTTGTTTCCAAGAAGTAATTCTGGAAATGTTTCCTCCCAAAGAACACCAAATGTCAGTATTCCCCAGTATACTGCTTTAATGGCAGGAGAATAAAAACAGCAACACAGAAAAAGACATATGTTTTAATAAATCATTAAATAAGTTTGCTAGCGAGTATAAACTTTTACAGAAAAATAAACCCTTAGACTTTTAATAACATTTGAATGATATGGGTCTGAATGAAAGTATTTGGAACGTTAGTGTAATAGCTTAATAAACTGACTCCCAAATAGTTTAGCTAACTCAAAAGAACATGCGTTTCTCTCACACACTTGAAAAAAGAGTAAAAATTGAGGTGGAATCTAGCAACTCACAATATCATTTAACAGAAAAGAATATTTGCATGCAGGAGAAACTGTAGAGAATTTATGTCCCCAAAGTGCAACTCTGAGCTGAAATTTGTCTTGAGAATATGATGTTCCTGCTCTTTCTGAAAATGCCAGACCTACAAACACAATCAAGACCTCGGAACAATTTTTGTCTCGGTTCTGCTGTGTTCTTGCTTTTAAAAGATGTCAATGCTGTTGAAGAATATAAGGTGCAGAGGTCATTCAAGATTGGAGAGCTGGCACATTTTGAGTGAAAAAGAATTTTTTCTGAAAGGTAAAACTACCTCCTACAGCTGAACATACCAGAATGTATGGATTGCTCTATCTTCAATTTTGAAGCAAAATTAACAAGGGGAGAACATAGTCAACCAAACTGGAACATCATCTACTCATGTAACATTTTTTCATTATCTGGTCAGCTTAATTTTGTATGTTTAGATGTATACATGTATGAATGATACCTCATGCTTTCATTTTCTATCCCTGCATCCACCTGAACAACTACTGCAGCATTCAGTCAGAATAGGGAAGAACAGAGTGTGGAGGTACTAACTGTCCAGGCATATTAAGCTTGGACGATATTAAAAAAAATTAAGATAATCAGAAATTACGTTTAAAGCAGGTATTTCCTGAAGAATATTTTTCATTTCAAATGCCTGATAGGAATTGTGCGACTTTTCTCCGAAGGTGGGGAAGTGCCCTGAAGTTCCTCTTTCTGGCTTGAAGCTTTACAAGAAAGTTACTGGTGCAAAGCCACACTGACTCTGCCAAAAGCATTTGTGCCTCATGATTAGGCAGGGGAGGTAGAACTAGGTGATCTTTAAGGTCCCTTCCAACCCAAGCCATTCTGTGATTCTGTGATTCTGTGACTAATAGCCTGCCTATTTGCATCAATGGTTATGATTCACAGATTGTGGCCTAACTCTATTTCTGAGGCATTCCATAACTCTTGCAGCTCTGTTTTCTTCATTGACTGTCAGGATTTTACATTTTCAAAGTGCGCAATAAAAGATACATCAAAAATGTAGTCCTTATGAGGCAGAGCATCGTATTTACTACCATCATTTACTATTTACATCATATTTACTACCCTCCTGGAGCAAAAATAAAACCATAATACACTGGGCAGTAGGTTTCAGCCATCAGACAAAAATGTTGCATGTTGTTCTGTAGGGCATCTGTGGGGGATTCTTGTTCTGGCAGAGCCTCTAAAAACATAGGACCTCAGGCCTTGCTATGTGCAGAGGCAGTTCTCTGTCAGTAGTCTGGCTGATGGCCTCAGTTTCAAGCTGGATAGCTTCTATACTGCTAGACCTGAAATAGATGAATATGTGATTTACAGAAATGTGATAAATAGGAGCTGAAAAAGAGTTGATAGTTAATGTTCAGTTACCTTAGAATTTGGAAAAAAGAATGAGGTAGTGCTCAGGGCCTTTGGCTGTGTAGGAAACAGGACTGACTGAGGAATGCATTTCCCTTTTGCTACAAGGAAGAATAGACTCTGATGTCAGCATGAGGATCCTTTCAGTGCCAAACAAACCCTGGACTGAAGATAACTAGTCTTGGAAGAAAATAGAGATATGCAGTACAAAGATCAAATACTGTTCCTAGTACAAGATGATTCTTCCAGTCCAGTGTGTGGGCAGCTTGTGGTGAGCATTCAGCTCTGTGATGATGGAGATCCTTGCACTTCATCTAAGTTCATCTCATCCCTTCCTCAGTTCCACCTTATAAGCAGTGATGGACAAGAAAGATTTATACAGTTCAAGGATTTTAGGAGCCAAATCTACTCAAAATCCATTAAAATAAGGCTGAAACTACAGGAAAAGGTGGTGACCTGGTGCCATGGCAGCCTTACAGAGCACAAACAAGAGAGAGAGGTAGATCCTAGGACAAGACAAATGTTTTGACTTGCTGCAGGATGGACTAAGTTGTTGTAGGAATTAAATTGTCCTACAGGAATTAAATTGTCCTAGGAAGTTTAGCTTAAGTCCAACATGAAACTCTTTACCTGGAAAGTAGGTAAAGGGATGATTACAAAGGTTAAAACCTATGAAATGAGGGATGGTAGAGCAGAATGACAAGTAATGACTTACTCCGGTTGGTAGAAAAGATATTTCTGTTCTTCAATATCACAAAACCCAGAAGAAGTGTCACCAGTACAACCACAGCTATAAGTGGGCCAGAGAAATTTATATTTACTTTCTCCTCTCCTTGCTCCTGTATCTCTGAATAAGAAAACAGAGAAGATACACACAGGAAAGATTTAATTTGGTGACAGTTAGCTTAAACACTCTATTCCAAAGTAAAGTGAATTAGAAGTTTAGGTAAAGGCCCTCAGCATCCTTTGCTTTTACAGTGCTTTAACAGTGTCAATAAATCACTATCCATATTGTTTTATTTCCATTTCCAAAACCTAGAGAAACTACTAGGTCTTAATCATCACTTCAGCAACAGTAAGGCAAAGCACTCTTTCTGAGGTTTAGGTAACATGTGAGGGATTAGCAACTTAATTAATAAAAGAGCCTGTGAGGAAGCTACTGTGCTAATGCTACTGAACAAGTTCAAAGAACCTTGGTTATGTTACTACTTGGTATCTGTTGCAAATGATGGTCAAAGCCTAACGAAATGCTGGAAGGGATGTGAAAGTAGCAGGGAATGCAAAGGACTTTCCCCCTATTTCTGGTTTCTGTGTTTCTGAGGTTTTGGTTGGTAAGCTTAGCAGCTGATAGAGGTTCAGTTACTACCAAACAAAACTTATGTTTATGTGGAGTTTCTGGTTTCTTACCATCTCTGCTTATCAGGTGACTGCTTTCATAAAGCTACGGAGGAGAGAAGAATTGAACAGAGAAGAAGAGGATACAGCATTATAGCCAGTATAGCTAATATAGCCATGTCAACATTCATGAGGAATGTGTAGAACTAAACAAACCTTAGAAGACTTTTGGATTGTATTTTAGTATAAAATCCTAGAATTTAAAGACATTAGAGGCAGTTTGCCATTGATAACTTCACCCTTTAGCTAAATTTATATTAAGATAACTGCACTGTAGAAATTTTTCAGAAAAAGTGGCAAGGTTCTTTTACATCAGCAGAAGGAAAGTGCATGTCTGTACTGCCCTGGCAGGCTTTCCTGCAATGCTTCCATTCCCTCACCGTTGCTCACCGTTCCTGTCAGTTGAAGCACAGCTCTTCATCTTCAGCATTGTCTAAAAGAGACATATGCAAGCCAAACAAACTTATGACAAAGTGGGAATTGTCTTTATTTTGATGTGTTTGTGCCATAGCTTACAAACAAAAATATGCCAAAAGATGTCGTCCTGTTCCAGAAAATAAATAAAATAATGCTTTAATTTAAAGAAAGGATCAGTCATGTGGAACCCTGAGATAATCCAACAGCAAAGTCATATTGAAACTCAGGTCTCCAGCTTCTTCTTGCAAGAGGTATCTCAAAAAAGACACAATCTCAAAGAAGAAAAATCCCCAAATAGTCATTTTGGAATGTGCACTTCATTCTGCCAAATGTTATGAAAACCACCAGGAATGCTTCTAATACAAGTCCAAGTTTCATGGCCTTTACACTTAAACTCAGCATAGTCTATTTGGCAGTTTGTGAACCAAATATGGTCTAAGGGGCCCTTCTGTTTTGCCTTCTGACTTTCTCTAAGGAACGATTAAGAATAGCAGTTCAAGCACTTTAAACCTGAATTAAAAGACCCTTTTTTTACTGTCAGGGTAGTCTAAATTTGGAACGCGTCCTGAGAGAGGTTGTGGAGTTTTTATCCTGGGAGGTATTTAAAATTCAACTGGATAAGGCCCTGTGCTAACTATTGACCCTAGTCTGAGCAGAGTGGTTAAACTAGATCATTTTCAGATGCCTCTTCCAACCTCAACAGTTCTGTGAAGTGTCAACCTCTCTCAACAGCTCTCACCTCTGGAGACCAGTTGCTGCCTAATCCAGATATCCAGGTTGCTTTGTTGCTACTGCAGTATCTTCTAGGGAATGGATGAGTAGGGATGATATGTTCTGGATTGTGTAACATTAGCCTTCCTTCTCTGTGCCCTCTCCTTGCTGTAGTAAGATTTGCCATGTGGAAAAGATAGGGAGTTCAGTGGCAAACAGATGGAGAGCATACAACCCTTGTAACAAACTGCTGCTACGAGTTAGGGTTTGTTCCCTGCCCTGGCTATGCTGCTCTCTGTGACAGCTCTACTGCAGCATGCGCTGCTCCTACCCACGCAAAAATCGGAACGGGCAAATGGAGACTCACCTATGTGTAGCGGCGCTGAGACAAGGATTCCCAGCTGCTCTCCGAGGTGAAGCAAGCAGCTAATATTAGCGAGGCTGTTTGTAGGAACTGGGATATTCAGCTTGCTAGTAACATTGTACAGCTTTGTTATAGCATCCTGTGAGACGTCCATGTGAGGCATATGTCTGTTTGTTGTGTTTTCATATGACATTAGCCAAGTCATCTCCTTAGGCTCTGGATAACCTCCAATGGAAGAACAGGATAGATTCAAGTATCCATTGGGCTTTAGTTCCCCAGTGTGCAGTTGTGCTATCTCAGGTTGACTATAGTTGGCTGAAACAGACCAATGAGAAAGCATCATGAGCCAGATATACCACATCTGTGGCAGTTCCTGCCAATTATTTAAGATTTTCAAGCAGAAACAACTCCGAAGAGTTTTCTTGAGGAAGAAGATGGATGTTCCAAGAAGGGTTTTTTTTCTATGGTTTTTGTTTGTTTGGTTTGGTGTTTTTGTTTTGTTTTGGTGTGGGTGAGGTTTGTGGGTTTTGTTGTTGGGTTTTTTTTGTGTGCATGTAGACTTGTTGCTTCTTGTCTTCAGGGTGTTTCAAAGATATAAGTCTGATCAGCAAGACAATGGGCCTCTGTCTCTCCCACCTCCTTTGGAAGTATTGACACCTCAGAATAACCAAACCTGGTCTGCTTACAGGTAAGGGCTTAAGCAAAAAATGGGAAGGGGACACAGTGCTGCCTACTTTTGACCTCCTGAACGGGTAAGGGGAAAAACAAAAACTTGTAACTGTGAAATGTAGAGAAAGAGATCATCTGAGAGAATTCAGATGGGGTAAGTTTGAGGTGCAGGGCTGTCATGAGCAGAAATATCCTTGGTGTCTGTCAGTAATGTGAGCAAACATTTTGCAGCATATAAAGTAATTCACTCATCAGAGCTCGGTAGTAGGCTTCCCTTAGTGTAGCTTTTTAGGTAGAAATGACCATAGCATAAGGTTTTTTTACTTTGCCAATGAAAACGCAAGTTTCCCAGGCAAGAAATAGTGAAACAGGATTGGGAAAAACCATTTAAAAATAAAATATGAATTAAAAAAATGGAAGATATTAACCACTACTCTCTCTTAAATAATCTCTTAAATATTCTCAATCAGGATTTTTCTGGTTAAAAGGTCGTAGTAAAAATAGTAGACTCTGATGGAAAAGGAGAAGGAGAGAATGTAGCCATAATACTGACTACATGTTGGTATACAGCAAGTTAAAAAACAAACAAACAAACAACAGTCCCTTCCCAAAAATCAGCAATAAACCCCAAGAAACAGACTCAAGACTTAATTGAAAATGTTTCATTATTTCAGTGCCAATAAGACTAAAGAAAATACAGAGAAATATTGAAGAAGGGGGAGAGGATACTTAGAAAAATACATGCCTAAGAGGGTCTCGCTCTTCTGAACAGACATTCAGTGTGTTGGATCCAGGATCTCATCCTTGCCCTACTGCATTCTTAACATGCATGAATGAAGAAACATGATGTTGCTTTTATTTGCTCTATCCTAGCACACAGGGAATAGGATTTAGTTTAGTTGCTTAAATCCCCCCAAGAGACTCCATGGATATGAAATCAAAATTGAAAAAGCCCCCCTTTTTTATACTCCAAAATTTAGCTAAGTTGTCCCTCAGGAAAGCTCAAGCTTTCTCTTCTTCCTCAAGGTCTGACTTGCTTAGCTGACTGCTGTCAGACTTCTGGTCTGGAGTATTTATTCTCTCCTTGGTATTTTATAGAGATGGCAGGATTGTAATCCATGGCTGTGAAACTTGTCACATCATCCAAGTGATTTAAGGGTTTCAATCTTATTGACAGTAAGCAAGTGGAAATAGCGGAATATACCCTGCACTTCTGTTTTATAGCTTCTGGAACCTCATTTTACTGAAAAGTGATGTTGGTTGCATGCAGGGTGTGGGCTACATATATGTGAGTTTTTTGTTGTTAATAGAAAAGCACATTTCAGGACATCTTTCATAGTTAAAGATAGCATCTTACAAAAAGGCTACGGGTTTAGATTCAATACTTCAAGAGACAGCAGATCCATCAAGCCCTTAATATTTTTCTCAATGGCTTAATCATCCTCCTTGGTTTTGTTCTGTTTTCTCAAGTGACAATGTACCTTACTTCTCACTTGCTTCCAGACACTGACTGTCACTGAATTCATTAGCCCTTTTAAAATTTTTTAATATCCAGTATTTTATGTATATTTCAGGTTCCCACACTCTGGAAACAAGGCTCTTCTCATTATTCTGTGTTATAAGGTAATCAGATTGCTATTTTAATGTCTTTAGTTGGACTGTATTTTTTCCAGCCTTCAGATAACTCTAGTAGAGCTTTTCTTCATACTTTACAGTTTTTCAACATCTCTTTTAAAATGAGGTCACACACTGTAAGTCTCTTTTCTGACATCGGCTTCATTTCCAGCACTTTGACTAGTGCATATTTTGAACAGCTTCCCCAGCCTCACCTACTTCCCTTTTTAGTTCATCCAGAGGATGCACTGCAGACTTGCTATTGCAGCAGATTTTTCCAGTTAATCAGATTGTCACCATGGTCTGTACCTTCCATGTTTTAAGAGCCAAAGTTTTCCATTGTAAAGCCTTCCCTTTTTTTTCTGGAGAAGGATCTGAGTTCATTGTTATTATATGTCATCCTGGCTGTACACAATGCATACAACATACGTATTATAGAGTCATAGAATCTCCTGAGTTGAAAGGGACCCACAAGGATCATCAAAGTCCAACTCCTTGTCCTGCACCCCAAGAATCACATCATGTGCCTGGGAGCATTGTCCCAACAGTTCTTGAACTCTGGCAGGCTTGGCGCTGTGACCATTTCCCTGGGGATCCTGTTCCAGTGCCCAACCACCCTCTGGATGAAAAACCTCCTAATATCCAACCTAAACCTCCCCTGACACACCTTCACGCTATCTGTATATTGTACTAATGTAATACATAAAAATAACCTGTGTAAACTATATTAGAAGCTACTTCAGTATTTCTGAATAGGCTTGGTTATCAAGGGATCTAGATAGCTTTGTGTGACTGCCCTATCATTCTTGTACAGTACACAATCTTTCTTAAGTCCATTTTAAGTGTGACATGCCAAACTACAAAAAGCCCTCCATGTATGGTATGAGTGTCTAATTAAAAAACAGCATGTAAGCACAGGTACATTTCAACATTTGTATTTCCCCTTTAACATTTGTATTTTTCTTCTAATTATTTTGATTTTATTTTTAATGGTTTTATACTGCTCCTTTGTTTAGGACTTTACTGAACAGAGACCCATTTGGAAGGAACTCAACAGCAGCACATAGTTCAGACAGTCTTCCTGAGATAAACCTTACAAAGTATAGGAGAGTCTTAGTGCTTAAATATGAGATACCTATAACATGTTGCTCAGATATTGGCTAAGCTGATAACTGACTTAACTGTTTGAATTAATCAAGCAATTGATGCTAAGCATCTCTTAAATTGGAGGCCTTGATACTTAGTGCACATTATGAGTTTCTGAGTTCTAAAACTTCACTAAAAATGCTTGTCAAGTAGATCCTGGGAGAATCAAAATGAACAATCTAGGTTTTCTATCTCTGGATCGAGGGAACACTTGCTGGTAACACAAAGCTAAACAGGCTCAGATGTGCTGGTACTCCATTTTTGGCTGCAGTTACACATTTCCTGTTCTCTTTCAGATTAATATGCTGAAGCCTGTGGAAGTTAGAAGCTGCTATTATTAATGGCTAGCACTATCAAAGTGGAGGAAGACAGAATATAGGCATATTGTTAAAGGTTATACTAACAGATTAGTTTAAAATAGAAAAACCATTATGATTATATATTAGGAATTATTAAAAATATTAGAAAATATTAGGAAAAGATTAGTGCCTCATTTTTATTTCCCTGTTAAAAGATTACTGTCTTTTCCTCTAACTACAAAAAATTCTCTGATGCAAAAAATCAGGTTGAATCTCATTAATGCATGCATTTTTTTCTTCAGAGATATTTTCAGTTTTCCTTTAGCTGAACATATGAATTTCTAGCCCTCTATGCAAGGTGTTCTTTTCTTTATTTTCCCTTTGATTTATATGGTCATAAAATAGCTGGGTGTTTGCAGAGATCTTGCTATGTTTCAATTCTAATGTACCACCAATGACGATAACTATTGCTACTTTTAATAGAAGGTAGTGCATCAGATGCAAATAAAGTTTATTTTCCAGAGTCCTTAAAGTCATAAAACTTGTAGGAGGCAAGAGGAAGAAGGTAGAATGGTTTTCACAATAAAGTATGACAGGGTGGAAATCAGGGATCATGTAATATCGAGCAAATTATTGCCTCATTTTCTACTTCTTCTGCTTACCTGAGTACTTTTCATTCACAGATAAGGACTTCCTATTGAGAATGCTCTTATCCATCTTTAGAAATTCTGCTCCTGTGCGGGTACCTTTTCAGTGACTTGGAGACAGGACCCATATTTCTGGACTGAACAAAGCCACAGAGAATCCCCCCAAAACCCTCGGAGCAGATGGCAGTTGGAAGAGGTTACTTACCAATGATGTGCAGTGAGCACTCAGATGTGTGTATGACCTTCGGCGGTCCTTCCTTTTTGTGCTGTATAATACACTCATAGCATCCCTCGTCCTTTACTCCTGCATTTAGCAATTGCAAAGTCCATTTGTCCACATCCACTTTTGTGCGATTTATATACTCAGGACTGAGGTGGTCATATTTTTCTTCACCGTAGTATAGTTCGTTCACCACGCTATCAGAGTCTTTTTGCCAAAAAACTATTAAGTCCCTCGCGTCAATTTTCTGAGGGTTTGGAAAATAGCAGGATAGGTATGCAGTGTGATTGAGAAATGCCTTCACCTGATGCACACTGCCAGCAATACCTTAGACAGAGAGAGAGAAAAATTAAAATTTCCACCAGCTACAAAAGAACACCAAGTTGGGCTCACAGAAGCAACACTTAATGGCAGTGGCAATAAAAACACCGGCATTTAGACACAAATTCTTCCTCTAGGTATGACAAGACACGTAGTTATTCAAACTGACACACATAGTCTTATGGAGTTCAGGTCATAAAACTGTTTCTTCTTTTTCTTCCTATATTTTACTTTCCCAGGAATGTTTACCACACAGATATTGTGAGCATCTATATTTTAGAAGACTTATCTGCTGACCTAAGGTCCAAACCATTCTTGTTCGTAGCATCCTGAGTGAAATGAAATTCTGCCCCAAAAGAGATAGCTGCACAATTCCTGTTTAAAAAGTTGAGTTCACTCTCCTGATAAAACAACACAGCATTGAAGTTTTGAAGAAAATGTGAAGTATACACTGTGTGGTAAATGTGAGTGTCAAGGGAATGTATGACCAGAAGGTCAGAAACAGGTGAACGCTTTCAGTCTCAATGAAGAATTAATCTAAAGTTTAATGACAAATTAAATGTCAGATTTAACTGCTCTGTAATGAATCTAGAGTTTAATGACAGATTAAATGTCAGATTTAACTGTTCCGTTGCTGATCTTGTTAACAAAAACGGTCAGTAAACAAAATTATGCCTTCATGCAAAAAAGGATGAACCATATTACACAAAGGATGAGTTTTCTCCCACTTTCATCCACACACGTCTCCATTTTTATGAGTGGCAAAGGGCTTGGAGGACTGCCTTGGAATAAGAAACGCAGTCCTCTGTCCCAGAAGATGCAAACATCTCTGCTGCGTTCAAAAGGTGGAGAAGATTTACAGTCTCTCTCCTGCTGCAAAGTTTTGACTGTTCTTTCAGAGCACCAGACTGCAAAATGATCTCTGCAGCTGTCTAAAACTCCAGTTGTCCCATATCAAACTGTCAGTTTTCAGTTTAATACTGCTCTTCTCTATAATACACACAGGTGATATACACACATTTTAAAGGTAGATTTAAATTGAAAATTTAAGAGCAACATAAAATAAGTGTAATATAAAGATATAAAGTTAAAGAGAGAAAGTACTTACTATATATATTTTATAGAGTACCTGCACACAATTTAAATATGACACACAGGCTGTATGACCTTGATTGTGCGGTGTAAATGATTAATTATTACTAAGGAATGAGCCTCTTAGCGGATGAGAAAGTATCACATAGCAGGACACACAAAATCAAAACAGTTTTAATGATTAAAAACGTGCCTTTTACCTGGGAGAGGTATCATAGCACAAAGGAAGAATATGCAGACCGCCATGACACTGTAAGAAGGAGGAAAGAAAGAAATACATTAGTGGTTGAAAACACTCCAGTACTCCCAAAGAAATGGTAAACCGAAAAGTTTTAGAGAGAGAGTATTAAGGAAGTTAGTCTCACCTTTTTGCATAGACTGGTGTGAGGACTTCTGTGTGCTTCCCAGCCTTTAGCAAGCATGCCATGGCAGATCTCTGGTTTACAGAGAAGCTGATGTGGTGCAAGATTACTGCAGACTGTGTATGCCATGGGAGGAACACAGAGTCCACAGGGTGCAATGGGCAAAACAAGTACTCAGAACGCCTGAAGCGGTGAAAAAGGAATGGGGAGCATGGTAGTGTGGGAAGAAGATGGGGGAACTGAAAGTAGAGGGGGAGGAGAGGGTGACACAGAAGGAGGAGGTGGGGGGGGACAGCATGATGATGTCAGCTGCCAGAAGTGATGAAGTTTGTGACCTTCAGTTTTGTAACAGGAATCTATCCTTCACAACAGTAAAAGGTAACGGAGAGAAATCCTGCATGATTTTAAAATTTGAGGCTAAACAGCACATAGTTTGTGGTAAAGAAAAATGGGTATCTCTTTAGAAAAAAAGAAAAAAACCCTGTGATTTGTCTCATAAGCAAACACTTCTCTGGGTACTTGGGTTCATGTGGTATAAAGGCCTATAATCCTGAAAAACAGCCAAATGTCATTCCCATGCACTGGTGAGATAATGGCACCTGCATCTGACTGGTCTGCATTTGCTAGTTTTCATTTTAGCAGCTCCTTTGTAGGATTTGTGTGTATATTTTCCATACAGCTGGAAGAACCCTCCACACTATCCTTGCCATGATCCTTCACTCTCCTCCTTTAAACAGCTCCAAAGAATCCTCCTCCTTTGCTGGAGCAGATGTAAAAACTCTCCATCTGTCCTACTACTTAAAAACAGTGGGATTGCTGTCTGCTGTCAGTTTCCTTATAGTTTCGCATTTTTCCTCATGCTTTATTTTAGGCTGGTACACTTGGGTCTTTACCCTGGGTCTCTGGTCTCTTCTTCTATTTAATACAGAATTCCACTCAGTCCACTGACATATTTTTTGTGTGTGTACTGTAATGTACAGAACTATCAATTGTATTTTTTCCAGGTTCATCCCGCCTTTTCTTAGGAAAGGAGAAAAAGAAGTCCAAATGTCTCAGAGGATATAGATGGTTTTTTCTGTGATCCAGCTGTCATAGCAGAAGAGGAGGAAAGGGAGGGAGGGCTTGTGCAGAATCCATTGTTGTAGGCAGGGGTCATTCTCTTTCTGCTCTGGCTGCCCTACTACGTGGTGAACTGTTATCAAGGGGTTTTCTTCCCAAGCTAGACTCCACTGAATTAAACCACACAATTCACTGCCTAAATAAAAAGGCATGTGCCAAGCCACTGACAACTACAGAAACTACTTCTCAGCAAATAAATAAGAATTTTTGCTTTCAGTCAAGAAAAAAATAAAGGATAGCCCTATTTTATTTTTTTTATTATTTTTGTCCAATGCAGATGTGTAAGAGGAGAAGCTAAAACAATTTAGCAACTGGAGACATAAGCTAAGTAGAGAGAATGTACTGCTATAGCTGGGCATGTTTTGCAATGACTGTCTCACAGGAGCAAAGACCAAAACCAGAACTGAAAATAGGAGTGAGAGAGAGACAACACAGGCAAGAATACCAGATAACACTTGCTTGCCTTTCTTGAGGGGTTATATTTGGAGCTGTGAGGACAGAAGTCTCAAAGATCCTACATGGTTTCCTGGCTGCCATCTTCCAGGAGAAGGCATGTTGCTGGGGATACTTGCATGAAGAAGGATCCCGTGAGTCTGCAGATGGGTGTACACCCACATTCCCTGCAGAGGGGAATTGCTTGTCACTGAGTGTGTGACAAGCTGCTTCTCTGCTTTATAGAGAGAAGCTGGATCATTAATCGGGCCACTACAACTTCAGTGCTGCATGCAGCTTTTCTTCCCCTTTTTTACAAAATGTCTTAAACAAGCAAATGCAGATCCTTGGAGCCAGTGTCCATCCAGGAAGGCTGAAGGAAGGGGAACTACACAGTATTTGTGCTGGCTTCTTACATTTCTTTGACATATTCAATACAATTCTGTGCTCAATTTTCTCTTACATCTGCAGGCCATCGAAAGTCTTCTTGTATCTTAGAACTGATAAGCAACGGGGGCTAGGTAAGAGGGGAGGGATAGACTTAGCTTCAGGATATGTCCTGCTGCTGGCAAATGGTGCAGACCAAACCACCCTCTTCGTGGCCATGGCCCAGTGCAGGACCACACTGCTCCACTTCAGAGCATTGTAGTCTGTGTTTGGATGTGTGGTCTTCCTAGTGACAGGCTGAGTTCATCCATCTGTGGAACTGGCACTTTTTCATGGTGCCAGTGATAACTAATGAGATGGGAGTGGTTTGAAGACCCATGGCTTTAAAATTATCTCTGACATTCAGAATAATGTGAGGTCAGTCCATGGGGAGGTACACATTTCCCCTTGCTAAATAAGGCTAGCACTATGTGTTGCCTTTTGAAGCTTTGTCAGCCATTCCTATTTATGACTCACAATTACAAATCATGTGTGGACATCAGAGATGAAAAATGGAGAAGTATATTAACTGAAATTCTGTAGTTTGCAGCCAGTACTCACATTCAAACCTTTTTTTTTTTTACTATCTCTTAGTCCAATCACTGAAAGGAGAAGAAACCACATGAATACATGCAATTTACAGGCCTGATTCATAATTGGGTTGGTTTGGCCCAAACCAGTCTGAGAAAACTCATGAAACAGTTCCCACTTGTCTCAGTACAGGGAGATTCCTGTCCAGAATCATAGATTCATAGAATCATAGAATGTTAAGGCTTGGAAGGGACCTTAAAGATCACCCAAGCTCCCCTACCATGGGCAGAGACATCTCCCACTAGACCATGTTGTTCAAGGCTTTATCCAACCTGGCCTTAAACACTGCCAGGGATGGGGAATCCACAACCTCCCTGGACAACCTGTTTCAGTGTCTCACCACTCTCACAGTAAACTATTACTTCCTAATATCCAACCTAAATTTCCCCTCTTCAACTTGTATCCACTACTCCTTGTCCTATCACTAGAGTTCCTGATGAAGATCCACTCTCCAGCTTCCCTGTAGCCCCCTTCAGATACTGTAAGATTGCTCTTTGGTCTCCATGCAGCCTTCTTTTCTCTAAGCTGAACAGCCCCAACTTTCTCAGCCTGTCTTCATAAGGTAGGGGTTCTTATCAACCTCCTGGCCCTGCTTTGGACTTGCTCCAACAGTTCCATGTCCTTTTTGTGTTATAGGCACCAGAATTTTACACAATACTCCAGGTGGGGTCTCTCAAGGGTACAGAGCAGAGGGGGCCAATCACCTCCCTCAACCTGCTGGCCACACTCTTTTTCATGCAGCCCCAGATACATGTGCCTTTCTGTGCTGAGAGCGCACGTTGCTGGGTCATGTCAAGTTTTTCACCAAGCATCACCCTGAAATCCTTCTCTGCAGAGCTGCTCTCAATCACTTCTCCGCCTGACCTACATGTGTGTCTGGGATTGCCACAAGCCATGTGTAGGACCTTGCACTTTGCTTTGCTCAACTTCAGGACATTTGCATCAGCCCACCTCTCAAGACTATCATGGTCCCTCTGGATGGCTAAGAACTCTAAAATTGATGTTTGAGAAAAACGGCGACTTCACTCCCTTTACTTCTGAGGGCAAGAAAGCTTGGTGTGACTTAGTTTGAGATTGGCTTGTGCTTTCTGTCTCCTGTTTCTCCCAGTCCAGCATGTGAAAACCAGCATGTAAAACCCCAACAGGCACACTGAAGCATAAAGGAGTAGGAGTAAGCAAGAGCTTTACCAATATGCTTTTGAAAGACACTGTCACATCTGTGCTCTTTGATTCCTAAGTTCCTTCACTGCCCTTCAGTTCCTTCCAAAATGTTCCTTTTGTTGCATGGTCTCACATGTAATTAGCTTATTTTCTTACACTGTGTACACATATTCTATGGGAAGGCTCCTGCACCATGTTTCACGTTGAACTCAAACCAAAACTAAACACTGAAGTAGTAAATCACTCTTTTGACTTTTCTAATGTGGGGATTTTTCTAAAATTTCCACCAACTTGCAACACTGAGTAGCACCACAAGCAGTGCTGTGAGCCTCCAGGAGGCAGGACATCTGTGACTAAGACTTTCCACTCCTGACCTGAAAGTTATCCTAGCAGCTACTAAATTAAATTATCCTAAAAATGCATTTACCAGCCTTCTCCCATGTATACACAGGTTGATTGAACAAGTGTTATCAAAGGAAATCACAGTTTAAGAAAATTCCCTTAACATGGCAAGTTCAGAGAATTCTATGATGCCCTTTACCCAAATACTATGCCATACAACCATATAACTATCCATCAAAGGACACATTTTAAAAACATACCATTACTCAGGCAACTTGTGTTTCCTACGTGCTTCTCCAGTTAGAAAGTGCTGCTGTTTTAAACGATTGCAAAACTTCTCCTATTGCTCATTCTTTTAGAACAATCTTTTACAACAAGTTACATTTAAAAATTCTGGGCTTATTGTTTAATTATATTGCTATTACATGAAAAAATACAACCCTCTGTCTCCCTAATTTTTCATTTCTGAGGGCATTTTTCATTCTTTCCCATTATGCCCTCCCTAAGTAACATCCTTGTCTTATATCTAAGATCTCCAGGAGAACCATGACTTTCACTATGATTCTGGGATCACTTTGCCCTAACATCTAGAAACTCTTCTTTTGATAGCAATTAAAAAACACCAATTATTCAAATAATACCTCTGGTCCAAAGATCATGGAGCATTCCACTGCTTCTGCAAGCCGAATTCTTCATCCACAAGTAGAGTGAGGTATCCCGGAAAGAGAGCACAGCGGCTGCCTAACGACACACAGTCCTACTGCGCAAATCACAGGACACCAAAGTGTTCTCCCTGCAAGTGAAACTGCAGGGGAAATTCAGAGGGGAAGAACGTCATCAACCAGAACGAGACATTCACTGGGATTAGCTGTGGTGTTTGAGTTCCACCTAAAGGACAGGTCAGATCGACGTATTTCTCGACCCTGTAAGCTACATCTGGCCACAGAACTGGCAAGTTGGTTGAACCACTTCTGCCTCACGGGTACCATACCTGTTCTCCTTTCCCAGCCCTTGCACTTGCCTCAAGGCTAGTCAAGCAAACTTGTCAGCTGGGAAGTAGCAATTGCTGGGTTCATTTCTCATCAAATCACACTAAACTGTTTGACTTCACAATA